CGCAATCATCGATAGCTGAATGATATCGTTACTGCCGACGATAAGTAAGTGGTCCATGTCAACCATAGCAGAAAGCGTCAGTGGATCGCAGCAGATGAAACGCCATTACAAGTCCCGAAAGGCGAAGTACACGGCAAAAAAGTGCTGCTGTCGGTCTGGTGGGATCGCCGAGGCATCATCTATTGGGAATTGCTACCTGCCATCCACACTGTTGCTGCCGATGTCTACTGTCAACAACTGCAAGAGATGGTCGACGAAAACCGAAAAGAGCGTCCAAAAGCGACAAGAATCATTATCTTGCATGACAACGCACGTCTTATGTGGCAAAGATGGCGCGTCTCAAAATCAAGCAGCTCGGTATCGAAACTTATGCATCCAGCACATAGCCTGGACTTTGCTCCTACTGATTACCATCTTTTCCGCTCGCTGCAAAATGACATCAAGGAAAAGAGATTCCATGACCGCAACCATATCGTAAAACCCCTTGCCCGATACTTTGACAGCCAGCCTAGATCGTTCTATGATAGAGGCATCGACAACTTGCCTGAGCGTTGGCAGTACGTCGTCGATAACAATGGATGTTACGTTGATTAGTGTTTGAAATAAACACTGATTGAAAAAGCGTGCTAAAATTCGACTGATTTCAGGACAAGCTAACACTTAGCGTTATATCACTTATCTTTCAGGTTTTGTATTCTGGTGTTTAGTGGCTTATCTTTGTTGCAGCACAACAGCTGCGGTGTGTTTGTCACCTTCAGTCAACGTGAATATGAAACATAAAGAACAGATCAAAAAGCCTTCCGTGAGTGAGGAAACAACTGACGAAGACAAAGGAAAAAGCGCTATAAGGATACAGCTGCTGCGCGACTTCTGCTGAATATGTCGACGCTGAACCTCTCGGTAAGATGTTCGTACCTATTTAGTAGAAGAACAGAGGTGGACAAAGGTCCCATCGGTTGGTATAATCAGCAAAAAACAGCTCAGTGACAAAAAATTAAAGACTGTAGGTAACAGCATTACCTCAGGTGGATCGATCCCACAGGTTACCGAATGCACTGTGCTGTTCAGGTGAGTTCAAATCCATACCATTGAGTAAACTGGTGGGACAGCGGTCAAACAAGCAAATGTATGGAGTAAGCCAGTTACACTGCATGGATAGGAGAATATCACAGTGCGCGCCATGGGTATTAAGAGACTAATACTAGCAACGAAGAGCTGTTCATATTTGGAGTGGTTATCAAGCGAGAAATAGGCAAGTCCACGTAGCACCTGACATCAGACTTCCTGGTGGTGCAGTGAATCCCTAGTAGGGCCAAAGAGGTTTAAACAGGCTAAATCACGCCCTACCCAAACCTGCTAGTGGGCTGCTTAGACACGTATGACAGGTCGATACTACAAGTTGAAGGGAACACAGAGGTGGTGATTAGTGACAGAGCGAAGAAGGACTTTGTCGCAAAGCTGAATTATCTTGGAGCGCTTGACCTCCGCAGACAGTTTCTTCAGGATTGGCCAAAGAAACGGCCGAAATTTTTATCGGATAAAGTGCAATCACGTATTCAGTTGTGTTATCGCAAAAGCCTACTGGCCTCTGAAGTTTAACTCCATCTGCATATATAAATGTATCTATGTACATTCCATGTAAAATGAAAGTTTCACTTTTAGCTAAACTTTCAGAGCATGATTACCACAGTGATTCATCTATTGGCGACGTGAGCCAAATAAGCTGAACCCACTGGAGTTGCAACGGAGGTCGTATATGAACGATTGAGGTGAACTCAAAAGAGAGTGAAGTTTGGCAATACGTCAGAGGTAAGTCAATTGAGGCTATAGCAAATAAAGGGTTTATGGAAGTCGATATCTCCATGGTAGGTATCGAACCTCAAGTAACAAGCACTAATTTGTGAGAGCCTTTAATTACTGAAGCTTTAATTATTGGCTCTCAAAACATTGCGCGACACGGGGCAAAAGCCGTTCGCACCGGAGAAATACGGAGTATTGGCGTGTCGATGTAAACTCGATACGGACACTCTATCCCTTTGAGGAAAACCAATTCTATTTTGCAGCAAAATTCAAGTATTCTTAATCTCTGTGAACATATCGATCCCATAGCAGCCAAAGCCCGCCAAACGGCGAGGCTAAACTTCAAGCTTAATATGTGAAGGTTCTGAGTATGACATTTGCAATAATATGGCCCGATGATATTTTCCAGCAATACGAAACGCGACCGTGCATATTTGTGGAATGTAAAACGTCAATACGAAGAGTTGTACACTACTAATTTGTAGCCACAGTAGCTACAGAGTATGAAACTAGGCCCAAAGTCTCCGATCGATGGATTGCACAACCTCGCAATTGTCACGCATAGTACTATTCACTCCAGGCATTAAGAAAGATATAACATCAGTAACACGAGAAATCCGTTTCTTATAGGCAAAGTTAGGACGAGCATACACATGAAATTTCACCTGATCAGGTAGTTGGACATCTGGAACGAGCTACTGGCTGGAATGCGACTGCGAGTCCAAATCATTCAGAAAATATATGGATAGACACCACAGGGTGTCGCAAGTTAAAATGTTGATGAAACTAGACTGCGGGATAGAAACAGTGTATGAAAAAGGTACGGAAATATAGACACACAGTGTCAAATCCATAGATCAGCTGAGCGAACTGTCCGAATATCTTTCATTCTTAATTTTCGTTGAACTCGGAATATCCAAAATCAAAGCGTACAGCTCCAGGAGGTAGCTTAAGAGAATATGATAAACAAAGTTCTGTGAAAAGGTAGTTGGTTCTCACGGCTGGATTTGGGCTATCCGCTGTGTGATTGGATTGCGACACGCAATCTCTATTCAGACCTCCGTTCACTTTGAACTAGACCATGGTCATTATGATCACAAGGACCGTACCCGAATTGGAAGTGGTTCGGTGTTGCTCTTCCCAACCCCGACAACCCATCACCGGTTTCTCTTTCGTTTGGACTCATCAGATGGAGATAGCCTGAGCTGGGGTGGAACTCGGGTCCTAGTGGTTGAAGGCTGACGCCTTGATCACTATGGCTCTAAGGTTTATGAGCAACGCTGATGAGTTCAAATGAGGACGAAACCAGTTGTGGGGTGACAGTAGTCGGTTTTCTTTATTTTCCGCCAATTAGACTATCTTTTGAATGGACATAAAATGCTGAGAGTTCTTACCTTTAAGTGGGTTCTAAAAAAGCTAGGCAACTTTTTCATCTCTCCATTCTAGCATCAGCTTATCATTCCCTTAACCATACAAACCTAAAAGTCCATACCTTCAAGTGAGTTTATAACAAACATTAGCTGCTTCCTTGATTATCTTTTCGTTCGTTTCTTTTTCTGTTCTCCTTCTTTTTCTTTTCCCTATCCTAACAGTATTTCGTTGACCGGACCAGTCCAAGGTTAAGATTCCAGCCGCAAGTGGATACTAAAATAAAACTCCAGGTAACTCTATTTGATCTCCACATTAAATCGCAGCCAACATGTGATTGGTTGTACTCAGAAGAATGGATATCATAAAAAGATTTATGGAATTTTCTTCAGTGCGCCGCAGGTCAATGATACTTGTACTGGGCGCTCAAGAACGAAATCTCTAGGATTAAGTACGGTTTTGGAAAGTTCTGATCCGCGCACTTTACGTAACCTACTAGGGTATCCTAGTTAAAAGTAAATTATAGCCCATGGATATCTGCAGGAGGATACCACTCAGAGTTTCCTCGTCCTAGTCCCATTATTCATTGGGTATATGTAGCGCACATATAATTTAGTTGGGCACTTCCATTTTTAATTTGTTGCGGAAAGCTTAAAATCTGCCCTGCCTTCCTAGTTTCATTTAGTTAATGCCTTCAATTTCCTTCCATTTCATGATCTCATAACCATTATGGTCTCTGATATACATCGGAATTGCTCCACCAAGTGTACCTGGGGATCTTACGGAAGATGAAAACGAACGTCGTGTACAGTTTATATAACAAACACTTCATCGGTATTCTCTTATCTGCCCCTAGCCTTCACATTTTTGCATACATGAATACGCTGTTGTTGTAAGTAGGATCCGCACCCATATGGATGCGGTTTCTCGGTATCACGAGAAATGTTCGCGAATAGCAAAGGTGAATGAATCATCGAAGAGCGACAAGGCAATAATTCAGACGAATGTCCCCCATGTTGAAAAAAGCGTAGGATTTCCAAGTGCTTTGAACCGTCACATACAAAAAATAATTTCGACAGCTCGCGTATGTTATTGTTCAAAGAGAGGAAAAAGGTTGGGTTAGGTTCCCATCAGGTCAGTGCATCAACTCTAACCAAAGTATCGGAGCGAGTCATCGTTACTAAAAAGGCAAGAAGTTTGACCAATAGAAAAAGATAGACAAAGAGACAAGACAGCCAAACGATATAATTGGACTGTGCCTCGCATCGCCGAGGAACACACAATTTATTTATTTATTTATGTAGTTCGAGAGAAGTCATATCATGGGTTATGATCTCTAAGCAACGGAATGGTTGATTTCAAGGACAAGTTTACATTTTTCGGCAAGTTACCCTACGAACCTTTGCCACATCGTGAACTGGTCATCTGGAGAATCACCCAAATAAGTGAGTAAGCGACACGCACGCGGGTCAATGTCGATTCTCCTTTTAGTGAAGAATAGAATCCAAAAGTCATCAGCAGTACGCCAGTGCATTGTACCTGGGCTTCGCTACCACGCGACACCGCTAGCTTCGTATACGCTGTGGATACTGGGAGGTCGCCTAGACTTATACAAGCGCGAACCGGTGACCACCTGGTCACTAGCCGAATCTCGTGAGCTAGACCGAAACAAATCAATTAGCAGACGGATAGAAGCGGCTTTACGTAGAATGTACCAATAACAACAAGGTGGACGTGAGGTCAAATAAATGAGCGGAACAAACATTTCAAGAGTTCATGCCATTGGAGAGGAATTCACGACATAGCAATCTTGTATGAAATGGGACACCTACCACGGATGAAGACGAGGCAGCAGTTCTATTAGAAGTTCTCTACAAATGAAAGAGCCACCGTCAAGCGGTATAAGGTGTTCTACACTTACGCGGCTAACTGTTGGTTCACATTTCATCTGACTAATTGGTGTCTGCGTCGACTGACAAAACACCTAAAAGCAGTTCACGGTTGCTGGATGCAGATTTACCGACTTGATGTTCGTAATGTTTTCCTTATTCTTCGCCACCTCTTTGAGAACAAGATACTTCTTCTTGTCCTTAATCGAGCAGATATAAGAAAAAAGGTGAAATCCACCTACCTCGCCTTGTTCAATGACAGCAACAGACGCAACAGCCTTCTTAAACAAACGCTTCCAATCTGAGAAGGGACGAAATTTAAGAAAAGAATTTTCTGGTAAAAAGATGATATGCAAATGTGAGCATTGTTTCATTCATATTAGCGGACAAAAATACGGCTGATAGTAACATATATGTATGTGGAAAAATCGCTTGTACGGCAACAAACAAATCAGCAACATGCCGATGCAATGCACTGACGCTTCCCTGCCAAGCGACCACCAGCAAGTCACGCGCAAGCTAAAGTAACTGTGAGGTCGCTCAAAACTACGCGGATTCGAACCGGTGATCTTTGGTTTACAAGGCAGATGTTTCGTCATTTCAGCCAATGGCTACGGTGCACTTTTTCGCCCTAGTGTGGTGAGCCCACAACACACAAGACTAACCTAGGCTACATCGCCCATACTGCGCTATGATTTCACCACACGTACTAAAGGTAGAGACCATAAATCGGTCCTTAGGTGCCAGCCCACTACTGTAAACAAGTGAACATGGATAAAGAGACGTACCGAGACCCTGTCGAAGCAACAAAGATTAATCAGATATTTAGTGATCAGTGGGTGATATAGGAATAGTGGTCGTCAAGGTGAAGGTGGAAGATGTTAAGTAATCGGTTAAAGTTCTAATACAACCGTTCATAGGTAAACAAAATTAGGTGGTTCGCGGTCCGTTGGTCCAGACGTCTGACGCGCTATCACTGGGTCATGGGTCCAAGTTCCAGCTATTGCACAGATTGGGGAGTCCCATAATTATCCTAAACCATGTAAAGCTGTCTGAGGTTGCATTACAACGAAGCACTAACACGAAAAACTGATGCACAGCTAGCACATAGCATCAACGCGACCACCACTGATCAGATACAGACTGGGTGTGTCGTGAGGTTATCCGCCTCTAAGGAGATAAACAATAGGGTTAACTAGACTCCGTTGAGAGAACAATCGTTCAGAACTGTTAAACGACAGAAATGATCAACAGAAAAAGCATAAAGCTCAAATTGACGCTACGTTCAATTGATCTACTAAATTTCATAAATGAAGAGTTGCTAAGTGAGGACCTCACGGGCTATAGTAATTTCTGTTTCGATTTATGTTGTCTCAATGAGGCAATCTAACTGTAGATGGATAGATTTTTTACCGCCGCTGCTCGAACTGTGGATAAAAACAACAGGTTCATAAACATTAGCTAACTGCCAGTGTCAAACATCTATCCACAGCTATAGAAGGGGGACTAAGGAGGTTAAACAAACTGTGTATTGGTGCTGTTTTAATAAACCACAATTTCGCTGATGTGAAGGCTCTTAAAGTAGCTGGGAAGATTTATCGTACTGATGTCAGTTTACATATAAGCCAGGGTGGTATAAACTGGATGCATTTTCGTACCTTGTGCAATCTATTGCACCTGCGTTGGATAATAATGTCAAGATTGTACAATCCCACTCCTCAACTAGACCGACGCCTTGAGGCGTTACGACGAATCAGTAGAGCTAAAGTTTTCGTTCGAAAATAGCCTTCGCGATATGTATGCGGCGGAGTGCATGACTATTCCGTAAATGTGTAAGTTCCATTGTTATGTGGTAGAAGGTCTACTGCCCTCTCAGCCAACGGTGATGTTTGGAGGCAATTGTCCTGTTCCTTTTTCTATTTTCTCTCTATGTCGAAAGCCTTCCTAGTTCATCCGATTCCACCAAACGTAAGTGTGCTGATGCCGTTGTTCTAGGCTGTACAGCATTCTCGAAAACGCCGTCTTCCTTAACAGTTCCAAGTGCGATGATGCAAACATTCGCTTTCTTGCATCCCAACAGACTGCGTTTCGTCGCAAATACCTCCCTCTGATCGTGGGTAACCAAAACATACTTCGTTCATCTTGCTGTCTTTTTTGAAACTTTTTAAAAAGTCAGATGACTGTCTTTTTACAATCCAGGTTCAAAACGATTTCATGCTGGTGCTTTAATCCGAAGATTTGCAACTGGATGTAATTCTCAGAGCACAGCTATACAATTCTTGTTTTCCCACGGACTTAATTTTGTGCCGTCACTCAAATCCTCAAGATGCTATGGATGCAGGAAAGAAGCCCTGGCTTATTTCAACGTCAGTAGCGACTCCGATGGGTGCATTAATGCTTCAGTCAATATTCTAAGGGAGACATCTCAAGCTATCACTTTTATAGGCAGTACGCTACCCATTTCTTCTGCATAGTTCTAATTTTAGGTTCTTGTACCACGTGGGATCGCAACCCATTCCTGTTATATCTGTCACGCTTATTAGTCGAGTTCAACTGGGACTGGGGACAATAGGATATTCCATTATTCTTTTTTACTCTTCCGCGTTTCAGTTTAGTCTAGTTCAGCTGAACAACTATGATCCGAGCACCGAAGCGCAGTGGATCCAAAGGCCACGACTCACATCGTAAGAGTAACAACAAATAATAACGGCAGGATAGTGGGGTTGAATACAAATAGAATGAAAAAGGAAGCAAGTAAGAATTGCGTTAAACTAATCAGAATGGAACGAAAATTAACGACCAGATGCAAGAAACCGAATACAACAACGTCACTGACTGTGACTGCGCCATGTCTGACACGGTCTCCAACCATTCAGTTTGGACTGTCCCGAAGCCCTCGTATACGAAGACAATACGCAACAGACTGACCAAGTTTCTCAGTCGATCTATTCATACCTCTATGCCACGTCATGGACTGGCCACCACACGGTTTTACCAAACTTGGTGAAGCCACGGCGCATAATGCACGCCGAAGAAGCCGGTCAACGGGCATACGGAGGACATGAATTAGCCAAAGTAACAGATTACGATTCAACAGACACTCAAGTGAGGCACCAGAAAGTTTCTTGCCAAAATCTAAACAGCGGATTTCAGTCTGGGAATTAGTAAAGTGATAAGTCTAAAACAAAAACCGCAGTATACTCTGGTCAACAAGTTACCCACATATATTGCCCAGTAGACCTTGTCAGACGGGTTACACAAAATAAGAGTGGATGGTTAGCTAGAGGTGGAAAACACAAGCTACTGTGCCGCAAATAAGGATAATAACCAAGCATGATAGGAACTGGAAAAAAAACAGAAAAATGAATGTACAGATGACGTTCAAAACCTTCAACCTTGAATGCCCTAACTATGTGCTCCAGAAGCGAGTTCTAGTGTTCGATAACTCCACGCGACAAAGAAGTTTCCGTCCTAACTAAGTCAAAACGCGGCTTTTGCACCTTCAACAGGTGACCGAGGAGACTAATCAAATGAGCGGGACTAAACCACCAAGGTATGTCTGAGACGATCTTTCAAATCAGAATGCAGTAAGTGAGGATCCCGCCCCACTAAGTCTCTGGTAGTGTGTTGAATAGATTCCCAAATTAAGCAGATGTTCGGAGTACGTATAGCCTCGTAAACCCTGCGCCAACCTAGTACTCAGCCGCAAAACCCTCTCAAGTTCCATGCTGTCCCTACAAGACATGGTAGGCAATCCAATTAAGGTCGCAACAGAAGTCGAAAATAGTTTCATAAACATATCGACCGTAAAGACTTAAGGAGCAGCGAAGAAACCACATTATACGGAACCCACTATAATCAGTCGTCCAACTGTCACCAAATCAGAGCCGGACTGTGGACGACGTCTAGATCAACCTTATGAGTGGCATCAGGGATTTCATTTGCACAATAACACAGCCCGTGAGGGGTTATCAGTCCCGATGCGGAAAACAATACTTCGCCTGATTAACGGGCATGAACCATAAAGTTGATCAGTCCCAAGGCCTATACAAAGCACTCTGAGCAGGAGTAAATAGTAGCAATTGTACCTCAAGCTCCTCAGGCGAATCATTTAAATAAATTGCGAATAGCGACAGTTCTAAACCAAAGTCATGCGGATGACCACTAAGAACAATTTACCTGAGCGAAGGGCTACGTCCCACCCGCACACACTGTTCTCACACCCCCGGCAGAAATGCAGATACCCATTTAACGACGTCATCAGATATTCCGTAAGAATACAACTTTAATGGAAATCACAAAACTGGAACAGCATCAACCTTTTTGAAAAGTCATCGGAAAGCAAGTCAACAGCATGAGCGCTGTCTAGTGCCTCGGTCCAGATTTCACGACCTACAAGTAAATTTGTCAGACACGAAAACCCTTACCGAACGCGTGTCGTGCAGAGTGAGAATATTAAAATTATTTGGGTATCTCTCCATCGAATCTCTCACCGGTTTTTCGAGAAAGAAGCCTATTACGTCTGTCAAACTGAAAGGCCGGTAGTTCGCAGGCAGATTACCGTCACAGCCTTTAGGAATTGGACAGATGATGGTCCCCTTCCATTCCGAAGTTAAGGTACATCTGTCAGGCGATTCAGAAAATACGCAATAAGAGGACCACTTAGTTCATCTACCAATTTGTGCAGCAGCTTTGGGTGAGTTGAATCAGGGCCGGAAGCATTAGAAAGATCCAACCATTTAAATAGCCCGAAAACACGAGTCTCCGTTATGTTGATTTCAGTTAGGCAGTAGTCGTCCGGAACGCTTGAAATCAGTTCAAGTTGTCGCATTAAAAGAGTCCCACAAGCGGAGACAACAATACGTTGTTCGGTAAGTATACAAGCATTTTCGTAGTCGGTAAGCGCAAGGGTTCTGCCTGCTCGTACGAACAATGGTAGGAAGGAGCTTGCACCGCTGTGTCTCTTTGCGTAAGCAAAGAGATTTTTGGGGCTAGTTGCGACGGAATGAGCTAAACCCTTCTCTCATCAAAGATGAGCAGTCCTCATATGTTGCCTTATTTCTAACCACTAGATAGCTACTGCAGGTGATGGCTGATGGGGCCGCTTTAGAAGTTTGCCAACACCTTGACCTCTTCCTGAGTAAGTATTTACCAGTGAAGTCTATCGACCGAAATTGCGCCCTTGCCTCCCGTTTAGTCATGAATGGGATGTAGGGAGCGGATACGTCGGTGAAATGCCTTAAATTTCTCTCAGGCTGAGTGAACAGTGTCCCCAGTGAAGACATTACAATGAAGAGCTGA